AAGCTGCCACCAGAAACAACACACACAAAAAAGCCAACAGTTAAAAAAAAAAAAAAAGGCAGACTGCCCAGCAGCACGGAGCGCTGGAGATCGGGAGTGTGAGGCACCGTGTTCAACTTTGTAGGGCCGCGGAGATTGGGTTTTGGTATTTAACGCACCCCATGCGGAGCCCGCGCTCCTTGCCGAGATGAAAAGAGAGGCTTTTACAGATCCTGCACCGCGGGATCGCCTCTGATCCTGTTTTACACGGGGTGTCTGGAAAGCCTGCGAAGGCATCTGGTTTTCTAGGAGCACTACCAGCGGGCAGGCGGCATCCAGAGCCCGGCTCCGGGGGGCTGTAAACCGCGGGAGGCGCAGCGGCTCCGCGGGGACCCCCCCGGCCGCCCCCTGCTCCCTGCTGCGGCTTCACAGCCATTTGGAGGGTCTCACGTTTGCAGGGAAAGGCAGTGGTCGGGTCCCGGCCCAGCTCTCCCCACCGGAGGCGCAGAGGGGGTGTTTTCCCGGGGGTGAAGGCACACAGTGTCCTTCCCTCGGCGCCCGGGGATAGCCTCGCTCCTCGGCTCCGCTGAACTCCCCGTGACCCTCCGAGCGCAGCCCATTTACCATACAATTGACAATTAAAAACAAACAAACAACAAAAAGCCAACAGCCTTTCCAACATGGAGTCCTCGCAGCGCCAAGGGGACCCTGAGGAGTCGCGCTCCTCCGCGCTGACCCAGGCGGGACCCGCTGCAGATGCAGAGTGATAATCTCCAGAAACTGAGAATAAAATTAAAGGGGGGGGGGCCTGACTCCAGGTCCTCCGCTGGCCCCCCGCCAGCTCTCCTTAAAGGTACAGGCCACCATTAACGCCGACGTTGGGTTCCTCCATAGCAATCCTCCTCGGGAAAGTTTGGGAAGTTTGGAAAGATGTCTTTAAACTCGCGTTAGGAGCCGCTGCCAGAAAGATGCGCCGGGACGCGGCGGGCAGAGCGAGCCTCGTAAGTGTCCCTGCGGCGGGCAGCCTCTCTTCGGGGGGAAATTTAAAAGGAGAAGGAAAAAGCAGAAAATACGGGAGCTTTTCCCAAGTGGGGAGCAGCGCTCTCCGCGGTGGGTGAGAGCGGAGAGGTGGGAGCGCCCGGCGGTCGCCGGGGAGGGGAGGAGAGGCCGCCCCGCGCCAGGGCCCCGCGCCCCGCTGAGGCGCAGCCCACCCTGTGCGCCCGCGGGCCCCGAGGCGCGGAGCGCCCGCGCCCCGCGCGGACTCACCTCCATCGCGCGGGATCAGCGAGCGGGAGCAGCCAAGTAATCCAAGAGAAGCAGGAGAAACGGCGAGGCGAAAGTAAAATCCTGGCTCGCAGGAGCCGGGCGGTAGCGTCCTGAGCCGCGGCCGGGGGAGCGCGGGGGCCCGCGGAGCTGGCGGGGGGCGGCGGGCGAGCGGCCGCCCTGTCCGGCGCAAGCTGAGCGTGTCCGACTGCGGAGCGGGGCACCAGTGCAGCCTTCTTTCCAAGGTCCATCAGCAATCGCAGTAATTAGGGCTTTCCACCAGCAGAAGAAGAAGGAGGTAAAAAAAAAAAAATCCAAAAAAAAAGCCAAAAAAAAAAAAAGCCAACCCAACACACACGCACACAGCGCCCGTGGGCGTGATTGTGCGGAAGCAAATAAAAATCTTCACAAGCGGCAGCGAAAGCGCCGCGGGCGACGATCCGTCCCACCAGCCCAGGTGGTGCCGCCGCGGGGCTCCCCGCGCTCCCACCCGGCTCCGCCGGCGCTCGGGCCGCCGACCGCCCCCTCCGCAGCTCGGACCGGCCCGGGCGAGGGGGACGAGTGGAGCCAAGCGGGTGCAGGGCTCCCCCTGCCCGCCCCCCTTCACTTGCTTAAAGGCTGGGCGGTGCGGAGCCGGGGGTCCGCGGCTGCAGAGCCATCCCGGGGCCGGCTCCCTCCATTTTACACTGAGAAGAAAAAGCCCAACAGAAAAAGAAGTTTCTGCACAAGCGGGAAGGGGGAGGGGGGCTGTGCACGCGTGTGTCTGTCTTACGGGGCGACTGATCCTGCAAGGCGAGCAGGGGCAGGGGGAGGGGAGCAGTCCGGGCTTCAGGAGCTACGGCTCCCCCAATCCATCGGTGCCAGAGGCGCCCAGCGCCGGGGAGCGGGATACACAGGAGCTGGGAGAACAAGCCGGGAGAGCGAGCCGGGGCAGGCGGCGTCGCGGCAGCCGACCCTTCCTCCACGGGGCTCTGCCCCCGCCCGCTACAGCAGCCGGCCCCGCTCCCCCCCGCGTCTCTCCCCGCTCCTCTTCACCCCGCTGCTTAAAACTGCGAAAGAAAAAAAAAAAAAAGAGGAAAAGAAGAAAAAAAAGTTAGAGAGCCAACGGCAGCTGGAAAACTTTCTGGGCAGCGCATGCGCCCGAGCCCGGCCTATTGCAGTCGGGGCTGGATTTTAAAGCTGTACGGCAGCGAGCGGGACCCCGCGCAGCCCCGCGGCGAGCGCCCGTGGTGCGCGCCCCCGTCCCATCCCGTCCGCGGGGCTGAGCCCCCATCGCCGCGCCATTCTTGTTGGTCAAGCTCGATGTGACACCCCGTGAACGCAGAGTTCGTGCAAAGCGGTGCCCCCTGTGCCCACCCCACCGGGGGGATGCGTGCGGGGCTGTACGGCCCCCACCAGCACCGCCGGCTCGTTATCCTGGGATTGGGGGGGGGTGGTCGCATAGGCACACGCGGGGATCTGCCGGGAGAGCCCCGCGGGGCTCCCCCCGCACACATGTGCGTGCAATGTGCGGCGCACATGGCCGCGCCGAGGGGCTGCCCCGGCATTCCTGCCGGGCGGCTCTTTGACAAGTCCTGTTTATCGCATGCTCCGAGCCGCGTGTGCCGCCTGCCAAACGCGGGGGGACGGAGCGAGCTCGACGGCTCGTGTTCCTCTTTCTGCAGCGGCTTTTCTGCCGCTGTAAATTTGGCAAGTTGTTGACAAAACTGTTTTGAGTTCAATCAAGTAAGGCCCAATGAGAGCTACAGGCGAGGGAGGCTTCGCGGACCCTTTGTACCTCCTCGCTCTTTTCTCACTCTGCAGTCCTCAGCCAAAGGGTTTTTATTGCACCTCTCTCGTCTCGTGTGCACCCAAGCACAGGAAATGGGAGCCTTCCCCCAGCCATGCCGTAACTCCGCAGTGTTTCCCCTGTATCCGCCTGCAACTGAGGGTCCACGGGGGGATTCGGGGGAGGGGGCACATTATCAAAGCAGCCCTGGGAAATCCAACCAAGCTGCGAGAGCAGCCCCGCTATCAATAAAAGCATTCACTCCTTCAAAACCATTCCAGTGCAAATAAAATCCCTTCAGGAGCCCGATGGGGAGAAAAGGCACGTCCCGGCCGGCACGAGCCCCTGTCCACCTGCTCCCGGGCCAAGAGCTCGTCCGCCCCGACAGGGCACTGCCCGCCAGGTAAGCGCAGCCTCCGCCGAACGGGCCAGCTGCCCCGCCAGGCCCCCACACTCCCCCCTCTGCCCAGGGCCCCCCGGGCCGCCCCCTCCGTTGCTCTGCCCGGGGCGCCGCTCCCCGCCGAGCCCGGCGGCGCCCGTCGCCTCCCCGGGAGGGAGCAGCGCTGGAGGGGCCGCTAAGAGGGGCCCCGGCGCTGGGAGCCGAGCAGAGGCAGCTCGGGGCGCAGGCAGGGAGCGGGAGGAGGCGGCGGGGGCGTCAGGGAAGCGCGGAGCCCCCTCGCCCCACAGTGGGCAGGAGATCAGCCCGGGACACTGCGGCTCCCGCCGGCACCTGACCGCCCCGACGGCCGCAGCATCACTCCCGGCAGGTTTCTTTACTCCCTAATATCCCAAAGAACCCTTCCATTAGGCATCCTCGCTGCCTGGGCTGCTGTTCATTCCTCGGGATGCCTGGTGAGGAATTTATAAATTAGGTGTAGCACCAGGTCCGAGGAGGGGGGAGGAATAAGGGGGCTGTTCGTTCCTTTAAGAAGACCAACCTTAGTTTTATGCCTAGTAAATAATATTTTACTGCCTTTGGTTTACTGTGGCATTTCAATTATCCCCTTTAGGAGTCTGCAAACTGCGTAGGTTAAAGGTCATTTCTCAAATCACTAGAATTAGTAAAGAATAGCAGAAAACTGTAAAAAGGGGAGGAGCTGCGCAGTAAAACAAGAAAGATCGCCTGGAATAAACTAATAAAGAGCCCTGAGCTGTTTACCTCTCGCATTTGTATTCCCGAATGATGTTTATCATCGTGTAATTGCATAATGTCATCGGGCACAGGAAAACGCCAAGCCCAGGACGATCCATACGGGCAGGGCTGTGAGCGGTAGCTTGGCAATGGGCGAAGCCAACACCAGATAATTTTCCTTCCCGGGATTCCTAGTCGTTGCTTTTAAAAAGAAAATTGAACAGGGAATTTTTAAATCGGGCAAATTTTCAAGCTATGGCACATAGAAGTGGAAATAAAGGGCAGAAATCCAAACATCCCGCAAGGCTTTAAGAATTTTAATTTCTCCTCACTATTTAAAACAGCTGGGTGAAGCTAGAGGGGGCAGGAGGGAGAAGTATTGACAATGTTAGAGGCATTCGTGCTGCCTAAGCTTTTGTTTTCCAGGTTTGTTAGTGACGGAGCTCTTAAGGTAACCAGACAGTTGATCTGCCAATGTCAAAGTGTTTTCTGGAGAAAAATATAAATGCTCAGAATAATGTCATGGGAAGTGTAACAACATCGTTGAATGCCCAAACAGCAGAGCCCCGAAAAGCAGCACAGCAGGATTTTAGAGATTTAGGTGAGGTCTCTTATAGTTCTGCAATTCTCTGGAGGACAGAAATAAATTGTTTCCGGTCTTTTTGACATATTTTCCTTTTTTCTGCAGAGTAATGCATTTTAACAAAGGAGTGGTCACATCAAACCCTTGCTCACCTGTGTTCACTGTAACGTTGGTGCTGTGTGATTTATATCTTTCCACCTTGGCCAATGGCAGCTGTGCAGTCAGGGGCCAACAGGCACGAGTTTTTGTCATGAGGAACCTGTTTGGGAAGCAGAACTTTTGAGGAAAGAAGGTGTTTTCCTATATATCTTTTTAGTTTATTATGAAATTTGAATATATAACGTAGGAATTATGACAGGTATCACACTGAGCCATTGTGAAGGCACAGCCCATCTGCAGCTGTGTTGGTATTAGTGCCCATAGTGTATCTGCATATAGGCTTTTTCAGATGAGGCTCATACCATAATGAACATTTGACAGAGCAAATATGTTGTGTCACTTTGAACATGTCACCTGCACTCTGCCCACCAGCTCATCTACTCCAGGGATGACCTTTTAAGCTCCAAGGGATTTAGGTGTAACTGCCTTGAAATCATATATGGACTTTCCTAGGGCTGTTTTTTTCCTAAAGCATGCTGTAGCTGTGTTTCTACAGACCACCCTGTAATCCAAAAGATGGCTAAACTACAAAAGAAATGTCAAAGATGATGATTTAATGCCAAATCTTGCAATAATTGTTATTTTCCTGATCCTTAGACACCAGAAGCAAGAAATAGCATGGGAAACTCTCTTTTTAAATAATAATTTTATATTTCTAGCTTGCCTGAACTCTGCTGAAGAGAATTTGACAAGTTAAGAGATTAGAAGACAAAGAAAAGAGTATGGATGTCTGTCCATGTATGGATGTACCCCCACCCCGTTCCCTTCCCATCTCTCAGATCCCAAATTCATGATGTTGAAAGAAACCAGAATATTTGGAAGCAGCAGTAAACCACTAGAGAGGAAGAAATGGAGTGTAGATTAGCATTCATGTCTACCAGATGAAGACATATTTAGATGCAGTGAGATGCAAATAAGAGGCAGCAGGCGAGAGAGGAAAGTTTACAGGGTAATGAAGTGTTACAAATTCTGGTGAATACGCCAATCTACAAACCTGCGAAGCCTGTAGAAAAAATTATACTACTTTATATTTAAATTGATGATAACTATACCAATTTGTTGTTACTAGTAATGAACTGCATATCAAATAGCCCCCATTTCTCTGCATTATCAGCTGGAGAAAGACAGCTGTGGACTCATTTCTCATCTTTCATGTGCAAAACACAGGTGGGTTCTTTTCATTCCCTTCTGCTGAGGTCTAACAAACCTCACTGCCACTGCAGAAACTACAGCCCAGGTACAACATGCATGTGTGCTGGGTCATGGAGGAAAATAGAGAGATGAGGAAATCCTTTCCAGAAAAGAGAAGTAACTCTAAAAGCTATTGAATCAGGATGCCAACTAGGTGCACATCTGTTGGAGCATGGGGCTTGACTGCTGTGAGCTCACCAGGTGCAAGATGGTCAAAAAATGCCCTCTCACAAGAGCAGGGGAGGCTGAGTTTTGGTGCCCCACAGCAATTATTATTTTACTCTTCTGGGAGACTGATGCCATGGGCAGCAGCTTGTGCCCAGCCCTGGCTCTGGCACACTGAGCTCAGTGAGCTGAGGTGCAGGTATTGATTCCAGTGCAAGTGTCTGAAGGAGGTGTTCAAGGAGGACATGACTCCTCTACAGCCAACAGAACATGTGAAAGCTGCCTAGACCTCTGGAGTTACAGAGACCATGAAAGGGCTCTGACGTTTTTTAGTTTTTGCCTCTGGAATAGTAAGGTTGTTGTTGAAGGTAATTATTGAAGGGATATGTTTATGCCCCCACAAGTGTTGGCTGTTTTCTCCTCTGTCCTGTCTGTGTCTGGGGCACATGTCCCTC